AATGGCAGGAGCAGCACAGCCCAGGCGAGTGGGAAGAGGCGGGGGGCGGCACTGTGACCAATGCTATGTAGAACCTGCACCTCTGGGTCGTCTGCAAGGTGAGAGGGCAGAGGCCCCCAAGGTGAGCGGCCCCCCTATTGACACTGGACCTCAGCCCAGCGAGGTTTCCCCTGCCCCTGCCTGGCAAAAGAGCCACCTCCTGTACCCAACCTCTTCAAGCAGACCCCCTTTTGTGCCCCAGGCCCAATTTGCTCCAGCCACCTACCTGCTGGAAGCCTCTTCTCCTGTGCATTGGCATGGGCCTGAGGACTGTGAGCTGAAAGATAAGGGTGGTCTTAGGTCAGGTACTTGGTACACCAAGGAGGCAGAGGGGTGGGAATGCTGGGTGGGCTGGGCAGTGGGACTTCCCAACCATCCCAGATCACTAGACCAGGCCCAGAATAGGGATGGAGCAAGGAGGCTCACAAGGCTGTGACACTCACTGATTTTGCCATTGACGTTCACCTTCAACCTCAAGCACTGGTCTTCCTGGTTGTGGATGGGTTTGGCTACAAAATAAATCCAGAGAGTGATAAGGAAGGAAACTTTTTTGGAAGAAAATATAAGCGTAAATGCCTCTGACCCTGCTTTCTCAGTCCCTACTCATTTTAATCCCTCTCTTCCCTCTAATCTTTGATTCTCACCTTCCTTAGTTTTTGCCCACTTTCTGCCCCAAGTTCAGTCCAAGCTCCCATTCTTGGGAATAACCCCTGACTTTGGAGGTGGTGGTAAAAAGAACATAGACACTGTCCCCTCCCTACAGCCCATCCTCCACTCCCCCCAGCCTGAAGTTGGGGGCAACCTGCACAATATGTTCCCCTTACCCGGCCACTTTGTCCTCGCCCTGCCTAAGCCCCACTGACAGGGTGAGGCCTGGATTCATTCTGTACAAAGCTGATCTCACAACTTGTAAAATCCACCAGTGGCTCTCCACTGCCCTCAGGATAAAGTCCAAACTCCTTAGCACTTCTTAGGCCCCCATGCTCTACCCTGTCTACTTCTCCAAGCTCCTATCTCCCCGCTTCCAAGTGTCCCTCCTGTTCCAGTCAGTCTGAACCATATGAAGTTCCCTGAAGATGTCATGCTCTCTTTGCACATGTCCCCTTGTTTGGCCAGCTCCTCTGTCTGTCCTTAAACTCTTGGGTCATCTTCCCCAGGAAGCCTTCTCTGAGGTGCGCCCCCCCCCACCCCAGACTAGCAGGTACTCAAGTCATTTCCACAGGGCCCCTGAGCTCATATCTACCATATCACCCTGTTCTAATGGTCTGTTAATCTATGTATGTCCCTTTCCAGGTTCCTGGAGGACAGGGACTCTGTAATGTTTTATTTATCTCTGCGCCTATAGTGCCAAGCAGAGTGCCCAGGACACAGCAGAAGCTCACTCCACATATGTAATGGGAATGAACGAAAACAGACTTCAGGATTGGAAGGGGCCGTCTGCTGCTTGCCTTCACACTAAGCATGTACCGAAGCATGCACATCATGCCAGGCGTGTCCCCCAGTGTGTGCACCTGTGTGCATGCCTCCCGGGCACTCACAGATGTAGTAGTAGCTGTGTCCCTCTTTGAACTCCTTGCCCAGGGTAAAGGGTGTGAAGCGCTGGAACTTCTCAGACAGCTTCTCTGGGCCATGCCTGGCACTGGGCTGGTTGCACTGCCAGCGGACCTGGTCCTTGGATTGGGGTTGGCACAGCTGGTACTGCTCGCGCTCCACCAGGTACAGTGTGTACCGCTCCATGGCAGCGTCTGCCACAGAGTCATCCTCATAATGAGGACAGATGATGTCCAGGTAGTCATTTAACTGCACGTGTACTGTGTAGTCCTCATTCCGAAACCTGGGCATGCGCAGAGGTAGAGAAAGCTGGTGGTCACTCTTCCAGGCCAGAGCCTTGAGCTTCCAAATGTTTACCATGACCCCTCACATTTCATACTGGACCACCGCCCCCACCAAAGATTTTTTAAAACTCTCAACTTCCAGTATTTAATTTACTGATCTTGATCTCTTTGTTTTTTTGGTTTTTTTTTTGCGGTACGCGGGCCTCTCACTGTTGTGGCCTCTCCCGCTGCGGGGCACAGGCTCCGGACGCACAGGCTCAGCGGCCATGGCTCACGGACCCAGCCACTCTGCGGCATGTGGGAATCTTCACGGACCGGGGCACGAACCCGTGTACCCTGCTTCGGCAGGCGGACTCTCAACCACTGCGCCACCAGGGAAGCCCTGATCTTGATCTCTTAAATATCTTTCCACCATCTCCAAACATCCCCGCCACCGTCGTCCCACCGTTGTCTGCCACTAATCCTCTAAATAGCATCCACTTAGTATCTTTCAGGTATCAAGGCACTTCCCATAACCTCCCTGATATTTACCCAAGGATGGGCTTCTAAATATTTTCTCTGCTCACTCTTCTACCTATAAATATTTCCCCAACTCTATTCTACCACTTGCTCCTTTAACTGCTATTAGACCTCAGTCTGAGACCCTACTGGCCCATTCTATAATCAAGATCCACATAACCCTTTCTCTTTCCCATGCTAGTACTCCACGTCCAACGATCTGTCTTCACTTCTCTTACTCCTCTCATTTTTCCCCTTGACCCACTGAGTATATCTCACATTGTTCAACTTCACTTTTCCCCCAACACCCAGGACATCCATGCCCACAGATAATGTCCAGTCCTTTTGAGTTAAATTGCTTTAATCAATTCATCCAGTCCCTCAAATCTCCCCTTCTAGCTACTCAAATCTATGCTCAGCTTTCCTTGTCCACTTCTCTCAAAGCACCCCAAAACCTCTCTGTCCCTTTATCTCCAAAAGCCATACTTTCACCTCTTGTGAAATGAGCTCCAGAAATGCTGGAGTTCTCAGATCTGAGAAGGCCTCTCCCCTCCCTCTTCCCAAGATGGAGCCAGCTCCCCTCCCCCAGCCCATTCCCCCCAGGCTCCAAAGGCTCCAGCCGGACTGCCCACCGACCCCTCCCCCCGCAGCTCTAGACACCTGGCTCCAGTCTA